GCTGCTGGAGGGCGAGGAGCAGAGGTGGGGCCCACATCTGTGGGAAGAATAGCTCTTCAATTTCCACAAAATGTGCTTTGATCCAGGCGCATATTTGCATGTCCTTTGCATCAAGCTTGCGTGGAGGAGGGAATCTGCAAGGGTTGCTCTCCCCAACTAATTTTTGTCTCTTTGCTCTCCCTACAAGGTTGTGTGAGGGCATTGGTGCTGTAAATGTGTGTAAGTAATCTGTACTGTGGGTTCTGAAATAAGGGCTTGGGGTTCCTGGTGGGCAGGAGGGCCAGATGGCAAATATTTCAGGCTTGTGAGCCACCTAGCCTCCGTCTCAACTGCTGGACTCTGTCACTGTAATGTGAAAGCTACAGCCATAAGCAACACCTACGGAGTACGTGTGGCTTGGTTCCAGCGCAATTTTATTTACAAATACAGGAGGCCAGCACAGGCTATCTTTGAAACCCTGAAAGGAAGGGGGTGGGTGGCAGTGAATGATTGTAAGTTAGATAACTACTTATGATTACAAGTTAAATAGCTATTTCTGCCTATAGGGAGGACCTGGGCAAAGAGTTTATCAAGGATGCTTGAGGCCAGAGTGCTGGAAGGAGTGCGGGGTGGGGGTGGGGCGGAATGAGGTTGCCTGGGGGGTAGGGAGGAATAGAAATGGAGGGAAGGAGCTCTGAGCAAGAGAAGGGGGTGCTGGCCGGGAGGCAGGGGACTAAGCCCTGTTCTCCTCCTGCAGGTGTCAGCAGCTCCCGGGGCGGGGTGGTCTGCGGGAACCTCTGCGTGTCCGGCTCGCGGCCGGTGACCGGCAGCGTGTGCAGCGCCCCCTGCAGCGGGAACGTGGCAGTGAGCACCGGCATGTGCGCGCCCTGCGGCCAGAGGTGCGGCAGCAGCTCCTCGGTGCGGTTCGCGTAGCACCTCCCGCTCGGTCAGCACACCGCTCTCCCAGAGAACATTCCCTGCCTTCAGAGGTGGGGCCCGGAGCAACCAAAGTCCCTGGGCTTGAAGCGGAAGGGCTCGGAGAACCAACCGCCGACCTGGCCCAACGGCAGCCTTATCGTCCTGCATCTCCTCCGCCTTCCCCCGCCCTTGCTCTTCGCGGTTTCTTCGGGGGAGGGCCGGGCTCCCCGCCCAGCTGGCAGCTGCTGCTCGTCCTTCCCCCCCCCCCCCCCCCCCCGCCCAGGAGGCTGCATGCCTGGGTCCCTGCGGCCCTGTGGGGAGATCCCATTCTGACTCAGGCTGCTCGGGGGCCTGGCCTGGCAGAAACCTGTGGCTTCTAAGGGACAGACTGGCCCGGGTCCTCGGCTGTGCACGGCTGTGGGTGGTGTGGCCGTGCTGCTATCCCACCGGCCCTCCCCTGCCTCCCGAACCTTTGCAATGACTGAGGCTGCAGCTCCACGGGGTCATCTTTCCCTGGCTGGCTCGGCTCCCTCTCCCTCGTGCTTAGTCTCCACGGTTCCAATAAAGCTCGTGGGTCATATATAATGTGCTCAGAAAATCTCCCATTTGTGCCTCCACGCGTGGACTTCCAGCCCAGTTTTTGCCCCTTGGAGGCTGACAGACAAGGCGTTCGCAGCCACGTGTGCTCGCAGCAAGAAATGCACTCTGGCAGCCCAAAACCTGGGGGTAGGGGAGTGTGCGTGCGAACAGCCTTCCCACTCCCTCAGCAGGAGAGGACTCCAGTGCCCCCTCCCCAGCAGAGCCCCAGCCCTGGGAGGAGGCCAAGGCCTCACACAGGCTAGGAGCCATGCCCCTTAAATCACCACAGCACCACGGCACCCACATGCTTTCCCAGGCCCCTGCAGAGATGGCTCCTCAGTATTCAGAGCACACCCAATGCTGTCTAAGGCCCCTTCCTCCCCAGCCCTCTCCACCCAGCTGATGAAGCCAGGATACCAGGTACCAGGCTGGGCCTCACCCAGGCTTCAGAAAGGCTGCTTTATTGGAAGCTATTCTGACATCATTTTTCAAACTGCCGGGCAGTGTTGGTAGCAGGGAGGGGAGTCCGCCTGTGACTGCGGGGGAGGGGGGGAGTCGGGGGGGGGGGGGGGTCTCTGCACACCAGGGCTCATTTTCGTATGCTCCTATGGGTGGCAGCTGAGGTCCTGATGGAATAGGACTTGAAGGTCCCAGGCCCACCGCTCGAGAAGCTCAGGGCATTGCTGCCCATGGTTCCTCCAAAGGCCACCCGGCTGCCACCTCCACCAGTGGAGTTCACCACAGCTAGGGGAAAAGGGAGAGGGTTCCATCAGCACAAGGCCCATCACCTGAGGCCCCAGTCCTCACTCCACCCCACTCTCCTGCTCTGCCTGCCCCTCTCCCTCCCCGCTGCCTTCCCTCCCCACCACCCTCCTGGGGCCAGCCCACCCCCCACCCCCACCCCTGCCAGAAGGAGCCTGGGCCAGCTGTGGGGGCTGCAGCACAGGTGTGCCCTGCCTCACTCTGCCCTCTTGCACGGCTCCCCTGGGCCCTTGAGCCTGACTTGCTGGGAGCTCCAGGGCACCTGCTAAAAGCTGGTGAGGGAAAGAAGCTCCTGGTCCAGACAAGGCCAGGCCCTCAAGCCAATGTGCCATCCTGCCGACCCAGCCTAGTCTGGACAGCACAGGAGATGGGCCACAGCCAAGAACTTACAGATATTCACAGCTCCCACTCCATCTCCAGCCAACCTGCGGGGCAGAGGAGAGACCTGTGAGCAGCTCTTTCCTCAGAGCTGGAGGAAGCAGTCCCAGGGACCCTTCCACCCAGGAGCCAGCAAGACTGGTATTCCTTCCTCTGTCCCCACACCTTGGTCCGCCTTCAGCCTTGTTGCAAAATAAGGGGGGGGGGGGCGAGGGGAGTTCACGTGGGCCCTCCTACCTACTGGCCACGTGACCTTGGGCAACATTTCAAAGCCTCCATTTCCTCACCTGACTCGGTCCTAGCCTCACAGAGTTGTTTGTGAGGGCTGAATAATATAATTTACCTAGAGCCCTGGGCGCACAGGATCTGATGAATGGTAGCCGTGAGTATTTATGAAGACAGCTGCCTCCCCTAACCAAATCATAAAACCCTCAAAGTGGGCTGTAGCTTATTGATTCTTGGATCTCCGGCCCCTAGCATGAGGTCTGGCATGTAGCAATTATTCCGTATGTACTGAAATAACTAGCGAATTGTTGCTTTCGTGAATGCTGCTAAGGCTGGGACTGGGGAGGGAGCAGAAGGCAGTCGGGGTGGCTTTAAGCAGCCCTACTGGAAATCGAAAAGCCATGGGAGACAGTTGGGCGTATTTGTTTTGTGACTCACAGCTCCATTGTTACCAAGCCCTTGGCCTTGGGGTTGAGTTTACTCTGCAGTGGGGAGGGGAGACCTCACTTTGGTAGAAGGAGTGAGGGGAGCCCAGCTGGCCTCATCAGCCCCAAGTTCAGGAAGAAGGCAGAACAAAGGACAAGGGCAAGAGACAGATATGCTAGGAAGCTTCCAGGCCCCTTGTTCCACGGGCCCCTGGGAGTGCTGGGAGTCACTGGAAGTTGTGGGACGGGAGGGAAGCCAGGGTGCAGTCAGGTAGCAATTCCATGTAACAATTTCTGGTGCTGTGCCTACGAACTCAGGAGGAAGAGACCTGAACGTCTAAAGCTCTGGTGAGGAGTGTGATTTTTCTCTTCTCATCCTAAGTAAATATTTGTTTTTGTGCCTCATTTTATATTCGTAACTCTGTACTTTGTAACCCCAAATTGCATAAGCTTCTAAGACCACAAATCCTAGACCTGCCCCTGGGACAGGTGGAGGGGTTATGGGATCAAAAACAAGGAGTCCATCTCCATGTCCCCTAAGAGGCGGAGAGAGGACAGTTGCCTCTCAGAGAACCAGGATCTAAGCCCCGATGATGACAATCTACACTGAGATTAGGCTTTCAGACAGAATGTTTCCATTCTCTGGCCAACCTTGGGCATGCCACTCGCCATCCCTGAGCTTCAGCCTGCTCAGCGGCCCATGGGAGGAAGTGGATCCAGCCCCATTCTATGTATGCATCCCCAGCTCTGGTTCTATGAGGAAAAGAAGCCCAGGGTATGTGTTCCCAAGAGAGCGTGGCCCCTGCACCCATGGTGGCAGAGGGTGCAGAGAGGCATCGTGGCTGGGACAGCTGGGCTCTGGGGCTGCCCTGAGCCCCAGATCAGCTGCTCTCTCTTCCCAGGGGCCTTTGGTATTCAATTCCTCTTCCCACAAAGACCAGATGCCAACCCAGGCAGGGATGGGGCAGTGGCAGAGACCCATCCTCCTCTCCTTCCCCAACTCCTATCCTGCGGCCATGTGTCTTCTCTCCCTCCTCCCTGCATCCAGGCACTCTGCCCTAGCACTCCCTCGTTCCCCAATTCCTTCCTGTCCATGCCATCCATCCTCCAGCTTGTCTCCCCATCCCTTCAGGAAAAATGCTCCCCAAAGAAAAAGTTCTGTAGACATTCAGCATTTTACAAATGCACATGAGTGGTCTCTAGGTGCTCCTTTACAAATGTTTGGTGTCCTCAGCCCAGGCACGAGCTCCCTGAGGGCAGAAGCGCGTCTTACATATTCTCTATCTCTGAGCTGGGTCCCAACAAGCCAAGCCCTGATGAGTCCTACCACCAAGCCTTGGCAACCACACTGTTCCCTCTCGCCCTCTCCAAACCCTAACCTTCGCCCAGGGCACAAGTCTAAAGCCTGGCCAATTGACTGAATGAATCAACCAACCCATCCAGGTGAGAATGAAGGCCCAACTTCATGGACATAGGTTCCGTGTCTTCATGAAGAATTCCTATAACACCAACCCAGCCCAGCCTGCTCTCTGGCCGCAGGTATGCAAATTATCTGTGGGACCTCCCCACATTCGGTCAATATCATGTGACTTACCACTTAGTGATGTGGCAGAAGCAGCCTGGCATCATGAAAGATCCCTGGACCAGGAATCAGCAGAGCTTGACTGCACACTGGCCCCTCAATTCATAAAACCAAACCGCAGTTTCCCCTCTGTAAACTAAGCAACAATACCTGACCTGCTTACCTGAATATATTGTGAGGATCAAATAAGATGACCCTGGCCACACATGAGGGGGCCGTTATTACCTTCAATTTTCCCATTGAGCTTTATACCACATGGTCTTTCCTACTAGAAGGGCATTTCATCAAGAGCAAAGAAGCAAGCATCATTTACCCTCCCTACACTTCCCATCCCTGGTGCCTTGCAGAAGAGAGGCCACAGAAAATGTCTGTAGGTGGATGAATGTCAAGCCCCAGGCGCCACCGAGCCCCAGAAGGATCCCCTTCCTGGCTTCTGTGTCCTCACCGGCTCTCCTCGCCCTCCAGCAGCTTGCGGTAGGTGGCGATCTCGATGTCCAGGGCCAGCTTGACGTTCATGAGCTCCTGGTACTCGCGCAGCTGCCGGGCCATGTCCTGCTTGGCTCGCTGCAGGGCGGCCTCCAGCTCCTCCTGCTTGGCATGTGCATCCTTGAGGGCCAGCTCCCCACATTCTTCGGCCTCGGCAATGGCAGCCTCCAACTTGGCACGCTGTGGGCAGTAGTGATGGCTGTGAGCTGGGGGGCAGTCCTTACCAGTCACTGCCTTCCTGCTTCCCCATCCTGCAGCAAGCGCCCGGGCAACTTGCTCATGGTGGCTTCACTGGCACCAGTCTATTTCCCCAGCACCAGGCAATCCCCAAAGGTTCAAAACATGGGCTCTGACACCCAATGCCTAGGCTCTGATACTGGCTCCACCACTTACTAGCCACGTGGTCTTGGACACACTCACCTTCCAAAGTCTCCTCTCTTCTAAAACAGCAATAATCACAGTGTCTGACTCAGAGGGGTACTGCAGGGATTAGATGGGGTAATACACAAGTCCCTGCCAGTGTCTAGCACACAGTTAGTGTTCAGTAACTGCTATTATAACTGCTATTATTTTTTTTTGTCAACCACCAATCTGGTCTCTGTTTCTAGCTTTGCTTTTTTAGATTCCACCTATAATGGGCACCTGGGTGGCTCAGTTGGTTAAGCATCTGCCTTCAGCTCAGGTCATGATCCCAGGGTCCTGGGATCAAGCCCCGCATCGGGCTCCTGGCTCAGCAGGGAGCCTGCTTCTCCCTCTCCCTCTGCTTCTCCCCCTGCTCATGCTCTCTCTCTCTCTCTGTATCTATCTCAAATGAATAAATAAAATCTTTGAAAAAACAAAAAAGATTCCACCTATAAGCATACAGTATTTGTCTTTCTCTGTCTGACGTATTTCACTCAGCATAAATGCCCTCAAGGTTTGTGTTGTCACAAATGGCAAGATTTCTTCTTTTTGATGGCTGAGTAATGTTCTATTTTATGGCTGAATAATATAATATTATATATATATATATATATATAATCACATTTTCTTTACTAATTCATCCACTGACGGATACTTTAAGTTGTTTCCATGTCTTGGCTATTGTAAACAATGCTGCAGTGAACATGGAGATGCAGAGATCTCTTTGAGATGGTAATTTTATTTCCTTCAGATATATACACGGAAATTGAATTTTTGGATTCTATGGTGGTTCTATTTTTTTTTAAAGATTTTATTTATTTATTTGACATAGAGAGAGAGAGAGAGATCACAAGTCGGCAGACAGGCAGGCTGAGGGAGAGGGAGAAACAGGCCCCCGACCGAGCAGGGAGCCTGATGTGGGGCTTGATCCCAGGACCCCCGGATCATGACCTGAGCTGAAGGCAGACGCTTAACGACTGAGCCACCCAGGCGCCCCTGGTGGTTCTATTTTAAATGTTCTGAGGACCCTCCCTACTGTTTTCCACAGTGGCTGCACCAGTTTGCGTTCCCACAGAAGGTACACAGGGCTCCCTTTCTCCACATCCTCGCCAACACTTGTTATCGCTTGTTATAATCTCTATAATTAGTAAATGCGATTATGATTTTCAAATGCCCATCCCCCCCCCCAGTCCCCAGCCCGAAGAGATCCAAAGCCATGGGATCTTAGTTGAGTCCCCAGATTTGGGGCAGCTGACAAGAATAAAAACCATCTTTAAAACAGGCCCAGAACAGGGGACTTGGAGCAGAGAGACACTGCTTGGAACCCCCAGGCCTCAAAATGTGTGACCAGAGCCCCTTGGTTTGGGCCGGGTTGGTCGGATTCACAATGGACCTGAGCCGTGGCTGCCACTTTCTGCCCAGCAGGAGCATTCGATCTATCTGCGCCCCACCCACACGCTGGGAACCTATCTAGTCCTGGGCCTCCTGCTGTTGGGCTCTGAGAGCCACCACTCCCACCCCTACCCAGTACTCCCCCTTCCTTCTCACCAGCCACTCTCTGTCCTCAGACCCTTCCCTGTCCCGGGTGTGCTCTGCCTCTCTACCAGCCCTCCTAACCCTTCCAGAAGGCCCCTCGTGTGCCCTCTGCCCCTTGTCCACCTGCCGGTCCCCTTCCCTATCACACTGGTGCCCCCTTGGCACTGCCTCATCCCACTGCCCCGGGGCCCCTCCATGGCGGTGGACACCCCAACTCTGGGGCCTGCTCCACCCCGTTGTACAAGAGGGGAAGCAGATGTGGCAGAAGCTGCAGGGTCTGAGAAACCACCATTCGGTATTCTTTGCCTCCCCTCCCAGCCTAGAAGCTGCCTCACTGCACCGGTGACTCATAGCCCTGCCTCCACGGCAGGAGGCAGCCTCCACCCTCATGTGAAGGGACCTGCGGGGCTCCAAGAAGCCCCGACATTCTGGGTAAGTCACCCCCACATCCCATCCCCCCAGCTCATCTGGAGCTTAGCCCTCTGAAGCTGCAGCACTGGTTACCTGCCCTCCCTCCCCACTGCAGACAACTGCTCTGGCTGAGCTGCCCCGTCCCTCCCCACACCTTGGCCAGGGCCTGTCCCCCTGCCAGCAACACAGCACATCTTCCCAACAGTCCGTCATCGGAGGCCCGTGCCCCACCACGGGTGCCAAGTGCCGAGAAGGAGCGGTGAGTCAGACAGATGGGGACCGGCTCCCAAGGCATTATTTGGATTTCAGTAGAGGCGGGAAACGGCCAACCACTTAATAAGCCAGAAAACTTCAGACAGTGATAGATGCTTCCAGAAAGTTCAGACGCCCTGCTGACCGAGTGGTTGGAGAAGCTATCTCTGAAAAGGGGACTCATGTCCAAAATCCCAGGGATGACAAAGGGGCAGCCATGTGCTGAGCCAGGAGAACCACATTCCAGATGGAGGGAACACCAGGGGCAAAGTCTCTGAAGCGTGAACGTGCCTGGCAGATCCAAGATACCGGAAGCAGGCTAGTGAGGCCGGAGCACAGTGAGATGCCGCGGTAGGAGGTGAAGGACGGGGACTTGTGAGCCACCGTAAGGGTTTCTGCTGGCCTCTGTCCCCCCTAATCCCCACAGACTGTGAGCTCCCAGGTACAGCATATGAACCCAGAGTGAGGTGCAAGGACAGTGCTCAGTACAAGTTTGGTAATGACTGGTGGTTTTTCTCAGGCTGGCCAGGCTGGGGCTCCCTCCCCAGGCTGCATGCCCAACTACGACTCCTCTCCTCCCATTAGCCTGAGCCAGGACCTGGCCAAGAACACTCTGTCCTGGAGATCTCACAAGTGGGCCCACGAGACTTGAGCTGCACCAGCCTCAGCCTGGGAGAGCCTCGGGCTCCTCACTCTCAGATGGCTGCCTTTCACGGGCCCCAAGAAACAGGGAGGGAGGGGGGGGGGGGGGGGGGGGGGGGTCCTTGCTCCCACCTGGTTCTTGATATTGTCAATCTCAGCCTGCAGCCTCTGGATGGCACGGTTCATCTCTGCGATCTCGTTCCGTGTATTACGGAGGTCGTCCCCATGCTTCCCAGCCTGCGCCTGGAGGGTCTCAAACTAGAGGGGCCACACAGAGAAGTTAAGGCAGGGGGTGGTCAACGATTACAGGGGACTCATCCCTCACCCCCTCCGAGGAAGGCCCAAGGTTCTGAGTGATGAGCCCTCCTAGCTTATCTTCCCAGGAAGCGACAGTCTGACTCCTGGCAATCTTCACCCACTGCCGGCAAGCCAGACTACTGGGCAGTGGGGTACAGCCGGGGCTTGCTTTCCTCCAAGTCAGGACAGGGAGGGCCAGGATGGCTCCCTGGGGCCCATCCCCATTGATCCTGGGGCTCTGCCCATTCCATTCCTGTCCCAAGTTCTGGAGAATCAGTAGAAGTCTGAAATCTTCACCTGTTAAACAACCCCCCAGTAAAAACACACTTGTTGAAAACATCAGCACCACCCATTTCACAGATGGGGAGAATGAGCTCTGGAGAATGGAAGGCACTGCCCAAGGATCACACGGCAAGTCTGAACCCACGTCTCCTTGCTGGCATATCTGTGTTCTCACCCTGTGTACCATGGATGACTCCTTATCTCTGCAGAGACCTCCCTCCGCTGCTTTTAAACCCTGCCTCAGGCTCCCTCCCCCAGAACACTAGTTCACCCCAGCACATTCCTTCAGCACCTGCACAGTCAGCCGCCCTGCCTCCACATGGCACATAATGATTCAACCTCCCTGGTCTGGAGGCCTAGGACCCAGGATCTAGTCCCTACTCTTCCAACTACTAGCTGTGTAGAGTTAGGCACATTACTTAACCTCTCTGTGCTTCGGGTGCCTCCGCCCTGTCAGCCCATCTGGCTGGGATCTCTCCCCGGGGAGGGACCTGGCCTTCACCTCTTCTTCACCTCTTCTGTGGGCCCTGGAGAGCATCACAGACTTAACCACTGGTGCCTGTCAAAACAGCGGGACCCAAGCCCTAAAGGCTTGAGACAGGGCGAGGAGTAAGGGCAGCTACCACCAAGGACCCTGCCAGGAAGAAAAGAGGGCCCTCCGCAGCCTCACACCTTGATCTGGTACATGGTCTCGGCCTCGGCCCGGCTGCGGTTGGCCATCTCCTCATACTGGGCCTTGACCTCGGCGATGATGCCGTCCAGGTCCAGGGAGCGGCTGTTGTCCATGGACAGCACCACGGACGTGTCCGAGATCTGGGACTGCAGCTCTGCCAACTCCTGCAGGGATGGGACAGAATGTCAGGACTTGGGGCATGACCCATCCCCGTTCCCACACCCATCCTGGGACCCCCTTCACACTAGGGGAAGAAAAAGGGAGAAGAGGTCAGAGTGGGCGTGAGTCACCAGAAGGCGAGGGGACACAGACCCACACCTGCTTAACAGTCCGCCCGCCCCCGGCAGCCCAGGGAGGTTAGCAGCTTCATTAGCAACTTCTCAAGAAAAGAGTCTGGTGGAATTACAGCAGATAAAGAAGGGACAGACTGTGGGGGACTGTGACGGCTCCTTCTGTGAGCTCTGCTGGGGTAGGAGCTTGGCTGTGAAGTACATCACTAGGGGGTGGGTAGGTCAAATAAACTATCCCACCCCAGGATGGAACTCTCTGCAGCCTTTAAAACCGATGACACAGCTGTATTTATATCCATGGTACACCATTACATGAAAAAAAAATGATCCTACTTTTACTAAAATACATATTACTATATCTCCATGTGTATACGCACAGCAAGAGTTTGAAAAGGTAGATACCAAGGTGATAAGAGCACATGTAAGAAACCTGTTTTCAATTTTATGCTGTACTCAATTTTCTGGATTTTTGGCAATGAGTATGCGTTTCTTTCATAATGAGAGGGAAATAAATATACATATACACATACATATGCACACACATATATATATACATAGACATATATATACATAGACCTATGTATAACATGCGACAGACATATAAAGATATATATAAAGACCCACACAGAGATTAGAATCCCCGAAGTAAACCTCAAGGAGCCTGCCCCTGAAATTCACACACGTGGAAATTCACTGAGGGGCTCATGGAGGCCGGAGGTTCAGAGGAAAGCTAGACAAAAAGGAACTGAGAACTGGTCTGTAATTAGCCTCATATATAACAGTCTCCCCAACCAGCCCTGCCAGATGACTGGCTGTCCTATCTTCCACTGAAGGCCAGAGACTCACACTGATAGGAGTGGAGAGGGTTTTAAATCCCCCAGAGAAAAAAGAGGTAAAATCCCCAGCTAAGACAAGAGGGAGAGAATCAGACTGCAGGGGCAGACAGAGTGGCCTATTGCTGGGGGGCCACATATCCGGTCCCTCTGGCTCTAAACTCCCAGATACTCTCTCCTGACTCGGGCCGCCCTGGCCACCCCACCCAGCCTACGTCTTGACTCTATAACAGCCCAGGATCCCTAGACATCCTCCCGGTTCCTTTCAACCCCTCCCAACACCCCTCCTAAAAAATGGTCACCCCATGTCTCTAGAAGGCCAATCCTGGCTGACCCCACCCTGCTCTGCTACCCTCAGCAACTCCTAAACTCCTTGCCCACCACGGATTCCTGGGTCCAGAAAGGATAAAGAACAGGATAAGTGCCTGCACACACATTCACCCAGGCTGGCCCAGACGCAGGGGGTTAACCAGATGGCCCCCTTGTTAGGACATGGAAGACATGACATGTCTCCCAAACCCAGGGTCCTCACCGTCTCATAGAAGGTCTTGAAGAAGTTGATCTCATCATTCAGGGCATCCACCTTCGCCTCGAACTCCACCTTGTTCATGTAGGCAGCATCCACATCCTGGGGGGTGGTGGCGAGAAGGGGTAGAGACACCGTGGCCTCAGTACACAGAATATTTAGCAGGGATGGGAGCCAGCCAGCACTGTCCAACCCACAGGGTCAAACACCAGGGCCCTACCAAGAGACATGCCATTTCTCCAGGCTGCCTGACCTGGCCACGGTAGGAAGTTTCCTCCACTGGACCCTCTGAAGCTGCGTGATAGGCATCATTTCCATGCATCCCCATGAACACAGGTACCTTTCCAGCACTGGTAGCCCAAGCCACCTGTAGCCCCAAACCTAGCGTTTTACTGGTTCCTGAAGGCTTTGGTGGTTTGGACACACCCCTGGCTCAACCACCTACAAGCTATGTGACCCTGAACAAGTCACTTCAACTCCGTGAGCCTCAACTTCTGATGAAGAAGGAGAGCAGAAAATCATTCCGACAGTAGGATAAGGCTCTCAGAGATGGAAGATCTCCAGCCTACATGTTTAACATACAGCTTAGTGACAGCGATGCACGTGTGGGCCATGAAGAACAGCGCAGGCCCAGGGGGCATCAGGGCCCCTCTAGCCATACATGCCTGTGCTCAAACTTGTGTGGACAGGGTCTGCTTTTACGCATCCTCGAAGCACCTAAATCTCTAAGGGCCCAGCACTCTGGGGCAGGTTGCTGTCATGTGGACGGGCCTAGAACCCTGAGCTGCTCAGTGAGTGTACTGAATCAGAATCTTAAATCAAGCCCCACTAAGATACTCCTAAGGCCTTCCAACCTTGGCTTGCACATCTCCAGGGACAGGGAGATCCCTCCGCCTCAGGCTCATCCCATTCATTCAGCACATACTTCAGCACCTGCCGGGTGCCAACCCATACCTGTCATGAAATGTTCTGACTGGAATAGAGCACTCCCGTATTTGGGTTGAAATCTCCCTTTCTAGCCTCCATCTTTTGGTCTGAATTCTAATGCCCCCAGGCCAAAAGCAAGTCCAGTGACTCACCAGAAGCACACATACACACAGGACAGGCTGTGCTATGAGGCTTCCAGATCTCTCCTTTTCCAAGCCCCTCATTCCCAGACCAGACTTTGGCCACAGGTCCCTACCAGCTGCTCAGGTACGAGGGCCACGTGGCCCCGTCCCACACAGTTTCAGATGATGCCCCCCGCACCTGGCCTAGACACCTGGCCCTCACCTTTTTCAGCACCACGAACTCATTCTCAGCAGCTGTGCGACGGTTAATTTCATCTTCATACCTGCAGTAGAGAGAGAGTGCGTGGTGTGAGTGCAGTTCTGCCTCCATGCCTCCTCCTACCCAGGGGTGAGAGTCTGCCCCGCATCAGCTTCCCCCCTGCTTACTGACACGCCTGGAAAAGTGGGGATCAGCTATGAAACCAAACGTCCCTGACTTTCCCTTGTGGCTATTCCTAAGGCTGGGGAGTCTTGGCATGAGATGAAAGTGGGAGAGCAGGGAATGCACATGAATTAAAGGACAAAAGCTGCATCTACCGGGAGGGAGAAAGCAAATACTAATAACCCAGCTTAGGGACCACTTCAAATAGGGCCTGCACTGTTATGTGCTTTCCACGAATTAGCTCATCTAATCCTCCCGATGATCCTTTAACAATGGTACCATGCTTCGTGGAAAAGGAACGGAGGCACAGAGAAGCAGATAATTTGTCCAGTCACTACGCTGCTAAGTGGCAAAGCCCAGACTTCAAGCCTGGCCGTTGACCCCAGGCCCACACCTTAACCACTACTTAATCCCACCCTCTGAGGATGAAGAAGGAGCCTGAAGCAGAGGAATCTTGTGGAATCAGGAAGAGGGTGCAGCAAGTCCTGGAAGAACCAGGCCCCAGCTGGCTGGTCTAGTCCCATCTCTACTCCCACAGCCCCCACCCCACCCCAAGTCCCTTTTTCTCCCAAGGAGCCAGTCCCGCTCATAGGAGGACATTGGCGATGCAGGGCACAGAGCAAGGGAACCCTTGGGCCTGACCCAGTATTTATTTGGGAACTTTTTTAAAAAAAAGTGTTAGAAACAGGAACTCAGTAGCACCCACAGGCTGCAGGAGGGCAGCAGGGCAACTATGGTGGGGAGCACGAAGCTCCTGCAGGCAGAGCCCCTCCAGGAGGAGGCCAGACTCACAAGGGCCCATGCCCTCAGGTCCTATAGAATAGTTACAGAACCATCCTGAAGGCCATCTCTCCATCCCTGCCCTTGCAGCATGCTGCTGAGCCCAGAGGATGCACAGACAGGAGTTCACTGGGCAGCGGCATCCAGGACCCTTCCAGGTGCCCCTTCCAGGCCTCCCTCAACCCCAGCTCAGAGCTCAGCCTGGCTCTGCGGGAAAGTGCTCTACCTGTAGGCTGGGGGGGAGGGGGGGTGGCGGGGGAAGTGTGCTGTGAGAGCACACACAGGCACACACACATGACAACAGAGGCTCACTTGTTGCCCAGAGCCCACTCTGTCCTGTACCTGTCTGTTCTCACCTGCTGGGGGATTATCCTGTTGACTGTTGCTCTAGGAAAGTAGGGGAGTGGGTACTCTCCACAGAGGCCTTTTTGTTTGTTCTACCTGCAGTCAGAGCCAGTGTCCCTGCATGGCTTTAGTCATCCACCTCCAGGGCAGAGCACAGAACTCACTTGCTACTCCCAGGACTACTGGGCAAGCCGGCTGGGGTGGGGCCCCGCCCAAGCCTCAGGCCTTGGTTTCTCTTCAATGGGAAAAGAGACCTCAGTGGGCCCCTCAAAGGCCTGTCTTTCCAACCCCAGTCTCCCAGGCCCCTACGCTCCCTGCCCCACCACACAGCCTCCTCTCTGGTTCCTGCACTGGCCAGAGCCGCCCCTCAGCCTCAGCAACCCTCCATGGCCCACCACACATGATCTCTCTCTCTCTCCTTGCTTCTTTCCGTCCCAGGTCAGCTCTGCATCTCCTCCTGGGAGTCAGGGGTCCAAAACATTCCAGTCCCAGCTCTCCCAGAGACCTGCCATGTGATCTCCCTCAGGACCCTGAATCTCTCTGGTCTCTAACTCCTCACCTGAACAGAGGGGCTGTTTTAGAATAATCTGTGAGGGTTGTGCAAGTTCTGAAGCTCATCTGTCATAGGACACCTTTTGCCCTACCCTCTCCTGGGGCCTTGGTCAGGCACCCAAAGGGAACAGTGCAGGTGAGGGTTCGGTGGGGATATTTTCCTGGCAAAGTCAGGTGACAAGACTTGGATACAGCTCCCAGGGACAAAGAAGGAAGAAAAGAGACAGGGAATGTGTGAGTCAAGGCCTTCCGTTCGGGGGTTACTGTACCGAGCAGCTGCACCCTCTGACCCCTAGCCCCAGAGGGGGCCTGCCAAGGATCAGCTGATGAGGGGCGCATGCGCCCGGGGTGCCAGCCCCTCCCCCAGGTCTCACGAGGGTCAGTACTTGTTCTTGAAGTCTTCCACCACGTCCTGCATGTTCCGCAGCTCTGCCTCCAGGCGGCCTCCATCCAACTGCAGCCCCTCAAGCTGCCTCCGCAGGCCAGCAATGTAGGCCTCGAAGATGCTGGGGACACAGCTGCTCTTGGCCGACTTCTGCTCCTGCAGCAGGGCCCACTTGGTCTCCAGCAGCTTGTTCTGCTGCTCCAGGAACCGCACCTGAGAGGGGAACGGAGGCGGAAACTCCTGAGGGGCAGCCCGTGCCACCCACACTGGGGTTGGGAGCGTCTCCAGCTCCCCACACAGCACAGCCCATGCTCCCACTGGCTGTTCCCCCAACCCGGACCCCGGCCCTTGGTCCCCTCCTCCAGGAATACCACGCTGAACCAGCCTCTCCTCCAGGACTCTCTGTCTTGAGTGCCTCAGACTGTGACCCAGGAGTCAGATCTGCCCAGTCGCCAAGATGTCTCCTGCCTCCTGTGTTCCCCATCACATTACAGATGATCTTCTCCACCTCCCTCTCTGCAAGGCTGCCCCCTCCCTGTCTGTCCTGGGCCTCCCCTCTCTGTATCCTCTCTCTGCTGCCCCTTTCTTCCAAGGTCTCAGGACAGGGTGCTAAAATAAGCAACTATTATCTGCTCGGTCTGGGGCCCAAAAGGCTCCTTGGATGCATCCAATATGACTGGGAGTAGGAAACAGCTCTCCTCAGAACTAGCAACTCGGAGCAGCAGGGCCTGGGGGCTGCAGACTGTAAGGCAGAGCAGCTCCGCACCAGGGGCGGACCCTGGGCCTGGGGAGGCTTCAGCAGAATCTTAAGGATTTGTAAGGTCTGAATGCCAAAGGAGAGGGCATGGGGGACTGGAGAAGCAGAGAGCTACACCAAGGCAGGAGAGGGAAGGTCTGGTCTAACAGTCTAACACCCCCGAGGAAGGAGGTCCTGGCCAGAGGGGCGCAGCTGGACTAGCCCCTAGTTCCTGGTCCAGCCCCACTTTGCTCCCCTCCTAGACCCACCAGTCAAGTCGGCCCCTCTCCCTCCAACCCCTGCTTTCACTCCCCCACTCCCTCCCCGACCCCTGTGGGACCCAAACAGCCAGGAAAAACCTCCTCCCAAATGGCCCTTTCCCAGGGTCCCTCAGGGCTCCTTCCCTGGGCGCAAATGGGCTATCTCCAAAGGCAGGTAGAACCTCACCTCCCACCACCAAAGGGAGGCTGGAGGACCAGGTCGGTGGGCAGGTGTGGCAGGGAGCCTCCCTCCCTCCAGCCCTTTATTTTCAGCATCTGCCTCAGCATAAGCAGTGCGAGGAGGGAGGGAAGAGATCCTCAGCTGGGGACAGTGTGTTCCCCCTACTCCGTCTCTCACCCCACGCAGCCCCCTCTCAGGGAAACTCCTGGCCCTGGCCTCTGGAGCTCCCAACCTGAATGCGCCCAAGAAACGCAGCCAACTCCCAGACACAGCCTGCGGGGTCAGCCGGACAGACTCAAGCACACCTCCTGGGAGGAAAAAGCAGGGCGATCTGGGCAGCTCGCCGGAAGAGGACGCTTGGAGCCCGAAGGGGAACAACAGTCACAGGGTTCACGAGGAGAAAGGTTCCCGATCCTGGCGGAAGGAGAACGCACCAGGCCTCCCAGCGCCTGGCCCGCGTGCAGTCAGGGCAGGTGGCTTCTGTGGCCCGGAGCGTGGCGTGCCGCAGGCTGCGGCGGCTCACCTTGTCGATGAAGGAGGCGAACTTGTTGTTGAGGGTCTTGATCTGCTCGCGCTCCTCCTGGCGCACCTGCTGGATGGACGGGTCGATGTCCACCCGCAGCGGGGCCAGCAGGCTCGGATTGATGGTTACCTCGCGGATGCCGGCGCCCACGGGGCCCCCGTAGGCGGAGCGCACGGCCACGCGCGGCTGCGAGGCGCCCAGGCCGTACAGGCTGCGGCTGCCGAAGCCGCCGGGGCGCACGGGGCTGAGGCGCACCTGCGCGCCGCGCCGGGGGAAGGCGGAGGAGCGCGAGCTGAAGACCTGGGAGCTTAAGTGGATAGACATGCTGGCTGGACCGGGCTGGACCTACGGGCGGGCGCGACACTGCCGAACTCGCTGACCTCCGCCGGCCCCCGCCGCTTTTATCCGCTAGGCGCGGGCCGATCCCCTTACACAGGTAGGGGCGGAGCTGGCCGCCGGCCACCCTTCTCTGCTCGCTGGAGCCCCTCCCCGGGCCAGGCTTCTGCTCTCCGCGCCCAGGCCGGCCGGGCTTTGGGGCCCAGGCCGGAAAGTCCCGAGTGGGGAGGAGGGCCGTAGACCCCCAGCGCCCGGGATAGGGGCTGACAGGGAGCGGTGGGAGCCGGCCATCTGAGCAGATCCGAAACAGGTTCAGTCTGGGAAGGCTTCCGGGAGGAGGCTTCAGAAAGAGTCCTGCGGCCAGAGCAGAGAGATCGAGTGATGAAAGACTGGGGGAGAGGGGGATCAAAAAAGTTCTGGTCCAGGAGTCAGCACCCAGCCCCCTTCCCCAAGCATTCCAGAAAGGCATTCCCAGCCTCCTTACCCCACGTCCAGTTCCTCCTTGAGAGATCAGCTCAGTTCTTGAGTAATCTGACCCCACGTAGCCTGGTCTAGCTGGTTTCCCTGGCCACTACACCTCATCCCCATATAAAAACCCGGCCAAGTGGGGCATGACCCCTCTTCCGGCCCCCTCCTCACTCCAGTAGGTATCTGAAGCCCAGAAGCCATGTGTGAAGCGTTGCTTTGGGTTCGCATTTCCCCTCCCCCAACACACTTTCCTATCCACTTATTTTATTTGTCCCTGAAGAGGCAGGGGACACCTGCGTGTCGTTGGGACACTTTGCGGATGTCTGCACACTAATGTGTGGACACACCTGCAGGCCACTGGCCCTCGCTGTGTGCTCACCTGAGACATGTGTGTGCATGTCTGTGAACTTTCTTGTGCAGGTGGGAGTCTGTATTCAGTGTGTGGCGGTGTGTCTGTGGATACACAGTTGCACGCTTTTGGATGCAGGTCTGTGAGCCTGCTTGTATTTACACTCAAACACTCCTCCCCATCTTCCACTGCCGCCATTTTCCTGCGTAAAGGTCCCCAGCTCTCATCGTGTCGCCCACCAAAGAAGTCCCAGCAGTCTCAAACCCAGCCCAAGATGGGGAGAAACCGCGCTGGAACAGGGAGCACCAGACAGAGACAGCTCACCCCCCAGCTGCACTTCCCAGGAGCCTCCAGCCACGCTTGCCACGCCCTCGGCCTCTGCCAGGCCCTGCCCCCCATTCTCCCCAGACCCCGTTTGGTTAGAAGGGCCACCTAGAGAGCCTTTGGAAAAGACAGCTGGCAGGCCTGCAGCCACCTTTAGCCTACCTCCAGCCCCCTAGTGAGCTGGCCGGCTTATCACCTCAGACCAAACCCTCAGGTACATCCTGGGTGGTGGAGGGTGGGGATGGAATGTCCTTCCGGGTTTTCATTTCGGTTAGGTACGAAGGCCTTCCCCTGAGACTGAGGGAGCCGCAGCCCCTGTTCAGTGACCTCCATGCAGGCCCATGTTGCTGGCCCTCCCTCTCCTCTGTATTGGTGTTGGGACGGCTCAGGCCAGAGGCAGAGGGGTGCCCGGGGAGACCTTCAGTGGTCTCTGCTGTAGGCTGTGTGGGTGTGGGTGTGGGTAGGGGTGTGGGTGGGAGAGAGAGGGGGAGAGAGATTGAGCTTTTACCTGGAATTCTCAGTTGTAGTTTGAAGAGCACACAGAGTTCCTGGCCTTGTGATATGTGCAGGCATGGGGATTCCACTCCTCCCCAGCCCCCACCCCAAGCAGGCAAAAGAGACCAACTGTTCAATTTCCACACATACATACATGCCCACGCACACGCCTACACACATCACTCACATATACTCACACACACACACCCGCATACACGCATGCACACATACCCCATGGCCCTCACACACACACACACACACACACACACACACACACACACACACACTCCAACTTCCTTACCCCTCAGGGCTCATCCTCAACTCTCTCCTACCACCTGCCATACCAGCCCCCTACCTCTCAACCCCCACAGCCCCACCCGTGTTCTGCGGCTGGCCCCTCCTTCCCCCTCCCACCTGCAGCCCCCACAGGATCTGTGACCACCCCCCAACCCTTCCACTTCTCCCCTAGAGCCTGGCCTGAGAGATCTTGGGCAGAACACGGCTGGTGACCTGCCTTGTGACCCTGGACAAGTCGCTGCCCCTCCCTGGGCATGGTTTCTTCAGCAGAGATGAAATCCCTGGGTTCCAGGGGGAGAGGGAGCTGGCAGGACATTGCAAAAAAGAAAAGGTCTTCAGGCCTGCCAGGCCTCGGCCCCCTCTTGAGTGGCATTTCCCCGTTCCAGGGCCTGCCCAGTACCCACCCTCAGCCTCCCCATCCCCTCCCTGAAACATTCCTGGCAGCTCCAGCCCCACCCACCCCTCTCCTCCTGTCTCTGCACCTCCCGCCAACAGCACGGGCCCACTCGGTGCCAGGCCGCGCACACACACCCCCTCTGGAGGGCTTCACGAGGAGCTGTCCACACCGAGAGAGGCCTCGGATCACATTCCTACCTGCAGGGTGCTCGGCACAGTGGGTCATCTCGACTCCGTCTCCCACCCCAGCCCGTGCCTCTGCTGGCCCCACAGAGATCCCCTTAAGGCATTCTGGGCAGAATCTTCTGATAAGATAATCCTTAGCGCCCTTTCTAGCTGTCCCCTTCCTGCCCAGAGGCTCACCCTGTCTCTGTAGTGCTCTGTGACACACACAAACACACACACACCCCAAGCACACATTCGGTGACCCTTGGCTCCTGGCCTGGCTTCCCACCGCGCCCTCTGGACCCCAGCAAAACCAGCAAGCAGCCTGGCCTCATGAAGCCTGTGAAGACACAATGGTCCTGCAGCCTCTGCAGGGAACGGGTTGCTCCCCTCCAGAGAGTGGGAGAAAATAGTCTTTGGCTTCCCCACTGCACTTTAGAGCCATGACTCATTGTCCATCCCGTGAAAACACAGCCTCTGATTCCTAAAAAAGAAAAAAAAAAAAAAAAGCATGATCTGTTTTCAGTATCTTAGAATTCAAATGTTTGTAATTTTAACAAAAAGCATTTCACATTTCTGCATGGAATGTAATACTTTTTTATGTCAAATAATGAAAGACAAGAAAGCAACATAAATGACAGCCAGCAGGTTGCTTTCCTGAATACATGAACCCCCAAGCAAAAGACAAACAGTGCAGCAGGAAAGTGGGCAACAGACAGAGACAGTAAGAGCTAGCATACTTCCAGAGTACTTACTCTGCAGGTGCCCGGCCCTGTCCTAAGCACACTGCCTCCGTGAGCCCAGGCAGCTCCCACCACAGCTCCTCGGCACAGTGTGGTCATCCCCGACCTAAGGAAGGAGACAGAGGCACAACAAATTTAAGTAAATGGCCCAAGGTCACACAACTAAGATGTCAAAAATCCAGGATTTGAACTTTGGCAGTTTGAGCCACTAGATTGCCTACAAAAAAAGAAAAAAGAAAGAAAGAAAATCAAATAGCAAATATGAAAAAAAAAAATGTTCAACCTAACTCAAAGAAATACAACAAGGGACGCCTGGGTGGCTTAGGCAGTTAAGCGTCTGACTCTTGGTTTCAGCTCAGGTTATGATCTCAGGGTCGTGGGCTCGAGCCCCGCGTTGCGTCGAAGCTCAGCGGAGAGTCTGCTTGAGGATTCTCTCTCTCTCCCTCTCCCTCTGCCCCTCCCTTGATTGCATGTTCTCTCCCTAAATAAATAAATAATTTGTTTAAAAATATTACATACATTCAAGGAGTGCTATCTATTGAAAAAATGAAAATAAAATCCTTTCTATGCTGATTGAGTTTTTGCCTTTATATACTGATTGCACAAATCGCTGCTGTTTTTTTAAAACCCAAGAGGCTCATGCCATCCAACTACACCATGTTTACCCCCTCCTCTGTGGCTGGTCCCTGCCAGCCCCAGAGTTGCCTCCTGACCTCCTAGTCACTCCCTCACACTCGCCAAGGACTCTGACACCTGGTTCTGGGGCTCCTCTCCAGCCTGGCACCCCCACTCTCCCAGGCAGATAACCTGCCCAGCATCTTAGCCTGGCCGTTCCTTAACTCCTCAATTCCAGTGACCTTCACATCCATCCCTTTCCTCCTGTCTCTGCCCATGGCCATGCTCTAGAACCTAGTCTGCTCCATCTCTGGAGTGTCAGACTCTGGTCTCACACTATGCGGCTGGTCATAACTGTCCCACTCAGCAGATGGGTTCTTCACCTGCACCAGCATCCCCAGGCCTGAACCCCATTAATCTGTTTTCTCCCTGCCTGCTACCCTCCTTCCTTCTTTCCAGCTTGGACCCCTCGGACCCCTCATCTTTGAGCTCTCACCTTTCAGTGCCCTCCACCTAGACAAACCCCCAGCCTGGCTCAACCTAAATGCTGAACTCTACCTGAGTTCCAAACTGCAGACCTTGGTGAAGACCATACCCTCAAGATGTGGTGTCACTACCCGTTCACAATCCCTAGGCTCAGCTGCATCCTCTCTGCTACTGGGCACCTCTCTCTCTGCCTTTGGTCAACCAGCTTTTCCAATCCTCCTAGTTGCTATGGCAAAGCTTCTCAACTCTCTCCCTGTGCTCCACCCTACCCCTCCACCCTCACCTTCAACAAAGTTACATAGCATTCTTCTTCACTGAGAAAATCAGGCTGTCTGGTAAAAACTCCTTACCGTCCCTCCTCCACCCAGACTTACCTACATACCCACTTCTCATCCTCCCTCCAGGCTCTGAGGACAGACTATCTCTCCCCCCAGGACACCAGCCTCCCTCAACACCTCAGATAGAGCATTCCATTCACCGGTCCCTACTTCTTCATACTGTCACCTTCTGTTTCTCCTCCCCCTCTGACGGCCTTCCCATTTGTCTGCATGCTCTTCACTGGAGCTTCATGGGGGCACCAGCCACATGTCAGCGGGCAGAGGTTTGAATGGGGCGAGGAGGTACAAACAGTGAGTGCCAACTACAATTTC